TTAAATGTGGGATAGGGCTGTAGCTTGCTTTCACCAGGAGAATGCAGTAGAAATAATACTGGGCCAATTCCAGGCCCAGGCCTTAAAAGGCCCGAGAGCTTCTGCTTTTGTTCTCCTGGGATCCCTGAGCTGCCATTTAAGGAATCTAGCAATCCTAATAAGGAAGAGACAGGGAGAGGCCACTAGAAGGAGGGGAGAATACCCAGGAAAGGAAAGTCAGTCTTGCCTCACTCGCCATGTGAGTATAATGACACAGGACCGTGGGCAGGATCAGCTAATGAACCTCCTGGCTGAGCCCAATCCATGCTGCAGAATTGTGGGATATACTGAATTGGTTGTTTTAAGCTACTAAGTGGTGGGGGAGTTGTTACACAACAAAAGATAAAAGATGTTTTCTTTGAGACATGTGAAGTACAGGAGGTTAAAAAGGTCTGACCAAAGGCTCAAACCTACTGCTATGACTTTCAGGACCAGACTTTGTCAACTGAGTGAATAAAATAACCGGTGGAGCTAAGGAATGAACCTCAGAGTGCAAGCCATCTTGACAATCCTCCACATTCTCTCTGTTCCAGCCCTAAGCTCTGTGTTAAATGAAATACGATAATGTGGCCGGGCGCGGTGGCTCAAGCCTGTAATCCCAGCACTTTGGGAGGCCGAGGCGGGTGGATCACGAGGTCGAGAGATCGAGACCAACCTGGTCAACAGGGTGAAACCCCGTCTCTACTAAAAATACCAAAAATTAGCTGGGCATGGTGGCGCGTGCCTGTAATCCCAGCTACTCAGGAGGCTGAGGCAGGAGAATTGCCTGAACCCAGGAGGCGGAGGTTGCGGTGAGCCGAGATCGCGCCATTGCACTCCAGCCTGGGTAACAAGAGCGAAACTCCGTCTCAAAAAAAAAAAAAAAAAAAAAAAAAAAGAAATACGATAATGTATACAAAAACAGCTAGTACACAGGCTGGCACACGGGAAACACTCAAAAAATGCTTCCAGATTTGTTCATGTGTTCCTAAAGCAGTGATGTGAACATGAGCCTATCTATTCAGGGGTAGTAACAGTGAAATGGGTAAGATCATTCTGGAACCAGAGAGCCTAGGCTCAAATCCTGGATCCCACAATTATAAAGTGTGGGGCCTTGGACTTACTCAACTCTCCCACGCCTCAGTCTGCTCATCTGAAAAGGAGGCTGCCAGGAACCTACCACCCCACATGACCGTTGTGAAAACTGAGTTACATGTTAAAAGACTAGAAGGTACCTGGCACCCAGTAAAGACTATGTAATTGTTTATTGTGAAGCTTTTCTTTATTTGTCTCTGTTGTTCTACCATTTCACATTCAACCAGTCAATTACACTTGTGTCTGTGCACCAATATTCACAGTATTTCCCTTTAGAGATTTCAAAACTGAGAAATTATTAAGATAATTGAATGCCACTTTTTAGTCTCTATTTAGTTTCTCTTCTTCCGGGTTTCTCCTCAAATAAAGGAATATCAAAAGAAATGAGTCTCTGGTAAAATCCTGGAAAAGTTAGCAATTCATTGAGAGAACGGGGCCAACAAAAGTCACAAGCAAGGTGTGTATGGAAAATCACAAAGCGACCATGTGAGACCCCAGGGCGCTGTAGAGAGTGTTGCGGGGTAAGGGGTGTGATGCTCAGGAAGGTGCTGGTCCCCTGTGACCTTGAGCAGTCCCGTACTCTAGGGCTTGGGGACCTCAACTGTAAAAGGGGACACTTGACTCTACCTGCCCTGATCTCTGACAGGGCAGCAAGGAGCAGTAAATGAGTCCAAACCTAAGAAAAGCTTTCTGCAACTCCTAGGGCACTGGGCGGAGGTTACGAAGCATCACAGTCTATTTACGTATCTTACTTTCTGCAACAACTTTTTATATTTTTGAAGGTTTTCAAACAAGCCCCAAACCTCATTCCTTCCAACAAGCAGGGCCACCAGCGAGTGCCTTTGATGAACTACTAACGAGAAGCCTATTTTCTTTAAGAAACTAAAGAGGTAGGCATTCTTTTGACAACTCTCAAAAATAGTTCAGTCGATTCGATAAAATCATCTTTGAAAACATAAAAAAGAACTCACCATCGCTTGGCACCTAAGCCCAATAGGTTGCTGCCACGCTGAAGGCTTTACATAAAGAGAGAGCCGACAGCCTGTGATTCTTCTGCTGGGGCTGATGGAGACCTGCTACTCTGATCTCTGAAGCTCGCTTTGTCTATTCCCGCTCCCTCTTCCCTCCTGTCTGTTTCTACACTTTACAAAGGCCCTTAGAAGTTGTATTTCTGGCCCAGTAACTCTTCCAGCCACTGCTGGGTTCAGACCAGATTTAGCCCAAGGATCGGCGGGTGACCAGGCCCACACAATGCCAGGAGGAAAGGTGCCAAGCCTGCTCCAGCTCCGGCAGACTGGCTGTCACTTGGGCATCTGGCCCTGCCTGAGGGCTCCATTTGTCATTAAAGACGTCCCTCCTTCCCCAGCCATTCTTTCCACCCCCTAACCCAGGGTCTCCATGAGAGGGACAAAGGGGGCCTTATTAAAGGCAGGGAGAGGAGGAAAACCAATGGCCTTAAAGAGAAGTTGAAGGGATGGTGCTGGGGACCGCCTCAGAAAGCTCTCCCCAGGGCTGCCGGGCACTTGTCACCTTCCAGGTCTCCCTGGGGAGCTGGGGTGACTGACTTGAGTTTTTGAAAGCCTGGACAGTCGTTGGACATGGTGAGAACAGACTGAAGAGGTTTGCGGCAAGCCTGGGAGCCAGACAGCACGGTCTGGCTTCTCCCATCCAGTTCTGCCCTGACCAGCAGAGCTGTGTGGTGAGAGGCGAGAGCTGCTGCTAATTACGTTTTCTGAACACGCCACAGGCAGACTTTCCTCAGGCTGTTTGCTCTGTCCCCTCTCCACCCCCACTCAGATGCAGTGTGCAGCTCAACCAGTCTTACAGGGAGGAGCGATGTGGGCGCCCATGGGGGGAAGTCAGGCCCACCACCCCAGATGACCTGCGGGGAGAAGACGCCCCGCCCTTTCCCGCCTACGCAGGCGGAATTCACACCAACTAGGGCTGAGGACCAAAAAAAACAAAATCACCACAGACCTCACTCCTGGCCAGTGTCTTGGCTACTTACACATATAGAGTCCCAAATATCACTCACCTCCACTGGGACCACCTCGGGATTTTTCTCCACCACTTTAACTGCAGCAAAACCTGTTCTGAGACAGACTGTCTCCTCCTCGGCTTTATTGCTGCCACAGTCGGAAATTCCCTGTCCTCCCGTGTTCCTATCTCCTACACCCCCAGGCCTGTTTCTGCACCCGTCCACCACAGAGCGGTGCACTGGTCTCTGTCCAAGTGACTGTGAGTGCCACAGGTGCTGAGACAGAGTTCTGAAGGCAGCCAGCCTGGTGTGCCCGGGGCTCTGCACCCAGCAGATGTTTAACACAAATCCACTGGTCATTCCCCAACACCAAACATGGGGAAAGAAATCCTTCTGAGATGAATATGCAGCGAAGCAGTGACCTACTTGTTGTCTTCAGAGCCCTACAGGCGTCTGTGAAGGACTCAAAACACCAGACTTTTGATGCACAGACATGTGACGTGGACAGCCGTTTCCACCAAGGGTCAGTTAGGGTAGCAATAAACTTGAACACTAATCATCCCATCCTCGTGGTACAAGCCAAACCAGAGGAATGAAAGACTGTACATGCCAACATGAAGACGGTTTGGCAGTGTGGCCTCATGCCAAACACAGGCCAAGCCACCTCCCGGAGCCCAGCCAAGTCTATGACAAAGCCGATTGTTCTGATACCCACTAAGGTGTGCCCTTGCTGATCTTGGCTGCTCTGCCAGCTACACTATCACAGCAGTAATAGCTACAATGAACTAAGTGCCTACTCTGTGCCAGGTAGGCTAAACACATAAGCATAGACTGCCTGGGGAGGCAGAGAGACTGGGAGAGGGCAAAGGCTTTGAAGTCAGATACCCCAAGCTCTGCATTCACCCAGAGACCATCTCAGTACCAACTGTGTGCCATGCTCCATGCCAGGCACTGAGGATGTCATGAGGTTAAGAGCAGCCCTTGGCCTCAGGGAGTTCATAGTCTGTGGAAGAAAACAAATGGAAAAATAGGCCACTGACTACAAAGTGAGAGATGCCATTATGAGGGTGTTTACTCAGCCCTGGCCTCATCTGAGTGAATCCTAAATGAGGCTAGCCATGTTTTTGTGCAAATTACTTAAATCGTCTAAACCCTAGTTTCTTCATCTGTGACGCAGGGATTAATAATACCCAGGTCACAGGGTTCTGTGAAGACTAAATATACAATCTATATAAAGTACGTACCTTGAAGGAAATAAAATGATGGTAATCACTCTTATTTAACCATAAAATAATAAGATTTTATGCAGAGATTTAACGTATGACAACCCAACTGATTTCCAACTTTTTCTCAGGCATACAATTTTCAAAACACTCAAGGCTTGCACACTTGGAGTCTCTAACCTGCACTGGATTCTTTATTGGAGGGTCCCTAGCATGACCGTTTAATTCACTGCCCAAACCAGGCCTCTGAGAGTAGAAAATAAAAGGAACAATTAATGATTCCACTGGGACGACATGGCAAACCAGATATCACATTTTGGACAAAAGGGAGCCGCTGGTCACTTTATCCACTGCCCATAGGCCAATTTCAGCATCAAAGCAGGCAGCCGTCACTATGCATCCCCTTTCTCCATCACTTTTGGGAGCTGCCAACAACTTTGAGAACAGGCCCAGCAAAACCTCAACCCGGGTGAGGCCTAGCAACTGCCCTGCGCCATCCAGAAGTCCAGAAGCTCAATGAACACGGAGACCCTCCCTACCCTCGCATCTCCGCTTCCCAAACCAGGAAGGAGTCATTCCCTGGTCCTCGCACTTGCCATCTGTCACCGCCCCTCACGTGATACAGAGCCGCTGTCTCCCAGCAAGGCGGCAGCCGTCCTTCCTTCCTCCTGGGTGGTACCTCTTACCTCAGGTGTCCCAGGCTGTAGAAGCGGGACTCGCCGTCGGTGGAGCGGACCACCTGCAGTGTGAACGTAGGCTGCAGCTGCCTGAGCTCCAGCAGGACGATGGCCAGGTAATGGATGAAGAGGAGGGCATCCACGAGGGAGACTGCATATTGCACAATGCCCTGGTAATTCCGGTCCCGAGAGTCCAAAATGCGGACCCCGTAAAAAAGCCAATAGGAAACCACAAAGAGAAAGATGAGGACCAGCAAAAGGGCACGAAACACAAACACGCGCGGCATGTCAGCTCTCCGCTTGCGGAAAAAAAGTGCCCAGGTCCCTATAAGCAGAATGAGGAGTTTGAACGCCACGGAGATAAAGAGCCCCTCACAAATTGTGCCACAAGGCTCCAGCTCATCCCTCCACAGGATCGGAGGCAACAGGATGAAGGCGATAGGGGTGAGGAAAACCAGAAGTCCAAGAAAGGAGGCGATGGTGAGGCCCAGGTAACGTTTGCAATCCAGCCCCACGCTGTCCTCCATGTCCTTGCTGATCCTGGCAATGTCCTCTTGGGATATACTGTGCTCTGAGGTACCTGTGATGGCCGTGGTGGTCTCTCCCCAGTTGTCATCCTGGTGGGGAGAAGACAGTGAGGATGACACGAAGCAAGTCATTTGTAAAAGCTACAAAGAGCAGTGAACATGCAGGACTGCCACATCGACCCAGCCCTCAATCCTATGAACCAATAATCCTTCAACTTGGAAAGTTAGACGGATCATATACACCTAATTCCTATTTAAGAAATTCCTGCCGGGCGCGGTGGCTCAAGCCTGTAATCCCAGCACTTTGGGAGGCCGAGGCGGGTGGATCACGAGGTCAAGAGATAGAGACCATCCTGGTCAACATGGTGAAACCCCGTCTCTACTAAAAATACAAAAAATTAGCTGGGCATGGTGGTGCGTGCCTGTAATCCCAGGTACTCAGGAGGCTGAGGCAGAAGAATTGCCTGAACCCAGGAGGTGCAGGTTGCGGTGAGCCGAGATCGCGCCATTGCACTCCAGCCTGGGTAACAAGAGTGAAACCCCCGTCTCAAAAAAACAAAAAAGAAATTCCTATTTGAGATGATGGCCAGAGGCAGCCAGGACTCTCAGACACTCTGGTGGACGTGGACCATGATACAGTGCCTCTGGAAAACCACTCTGGCTGTTGCATATAAATTTAAATATATGCTTAACTCTAAGCCCCAGCAAAATTCCACTCTCCGGTTTTATCCAAAAATTAATAAAAACAGACATCCAGCTGGGCACAGTGGCTCACGCCTGTAATCCTAGCACTTTGGGAGGCCAAGGTGGGCAAATCACCTGAGGTCAGGAGTTTGAGACCAGCCTGGCCAACATGATGAAACCCTGTCTTTACTAAAAATACAAAATTAGCCAGGCATGGTGGTGGATGCTTGTAATCCTGGCTACTCAGGAGGCTGAGGCAGGAGAATTGTTTGAACCCCAGAGGCGGAGGCTTCAGTGAGCTGAGATCACGTCCCTGGACTCCAGCCTGGACGAGAGAGCAAGACTCTGTCGCAAGAGAAAAAAAAAAAAGAAAGAAAGAAAAAGGAAAGAAAAGATATATCCAACAAAAGACAACAACAAGTATGTTCATAACAGCCAAAATCGTGCAACCCAGATGTCCACTGACTAAGAGAATGGATAATAGATTGTGGTACACTGATGCAATGGAATACTACTCAGCAAAAGTAAAAAAAATAAGCTGTTGAAACATACCAAAACATGGATAAATCTCAAAAGCATTATGCTGAGCAGGGTGGTGGGTGCGAGGGAGACAGACCATATGATTCCAACTATATTAAATTCAAAAACAGGCAGAATTAATCTACAGTCATAGAAATCAACACAGTGGTTGCCTTGGAGAGGCGAGGGTGAGGCAGAGATTGACTAGGAAGGGCACAAGAGAATTTCCCGGGGTGCACATGCATGCCTAAAAAATACACACGTACAAAGGGTTCTGCCAAGCTTGAGGTTCTTAGAAGAAAAAGAAGCTAGGATCCTTTCATCAAAACCCCGAGATTTTCATAAAGAAACTGAGGCCTACAAAGGCTGGGACAGCTCAAGGTAACAAAGCTACGGAGAAATCCAGCCTCCAAACACACTGCTCAATGCTTTTCTCACCAGATCATCCCGGGGCAGCACCAACAGCTTCCCAAAGTAGTTCTCAGCTATGAGGTACAGAGAAGATGTGGGGAAAGAATAGCCTTCATTGTAGGCCACCGGCACCTCTGAACGCACATCCAGGAGGAAACTGATCCCCTCCAGCGCTCCGGAGTGACCCAGTCCTAGGACTGGCCCCATCCAACCATCAGCCATCCCACAGCCAAAGCAGGCAGCACTAGAGGCATTTGCTCACTGCTCAGTGAACCTCATGTTCAACCCACAACTGTAGCTTTGTGTCCCAAGAACACCTTGTGTGCTTCTAGGAATTCCCAGTCCATCTATCTGATTATAAATGCTTACCTGTGTGTATGCACAGGTATGTACAGATTTATGCTTATCTACGGTCCTATATCTATCTTTACAGCTGTGTATCGTACATTGCTTTGTTTATGAGGGGCAAGGCTGGACATGTGTCTATATATTTCAGGATGTGCAGAGGGTGTGCAAACATGTTTCTGTGTATAGCTCAGATGTTTATTTAAATCAGATGGGCTGCCAGTTGGAACCTCGAGAAGAACCCACTCGATGTTTTAAAAAATAAAGTATATTTCGAAAATCATATAAAATTAGGATTTCCAGCTTTTCTTAAACACTGACTCCTTGCATTCTTGAGCAGCAGTAGGTGTCTGGAGCTGCAGAGCTGCTGTTTCCTTTACAGAGAAAATGCATTCTCCGGTTTGCCACAGGCTCCTTCACTGCACACAACAGCAGTAACACTGAGACACTGCACAGACTACTGTTAACCCAAAGCTTGTTTGAGGTATTTTCGACCCCTCTTTTCGACCCAGGGCCTCCGTAATTATGTTCCTCTACCAGGTATCTGTGTGTGCGGCCTCTGACTGACTGCATACATCTAGTAGTAATGGTCCGTCTGGGCTGCCCCACGTTTTTCCCTCCTCTTCTTAACATTACATCGGTTTTCTGGGTTTCCTTCTCCTTCTTATACTGTTCCATTTCGAAATGAGTGGTGGGAGGCTTCAGCTTTTCCCTTCCCTTTCCTGTCATCAACCTGGCTGGCTTCTTTTCCACACCATGCAAAGCAGGCCAACCAATCAGACTTAAGAAGAATCCCCAAGCTACCAAAGGGCAGGACAGGCTGTTCTTAGACCAACAAGACACCATAGGATGTAGATAAACTAATTAGCATGCTAGGAAAATAAAGGCAAAAACCCAAGAGAACCTACTGCAACAAGACTTAGGAAAACATTTACAGAAAGGAGTCTTGGCCAAGTGGTAGTGTGCTCACAGACCGCCTTTGATCCTTACCTGAACTTCCTCTGTCCGAGTAGAATCATTTGCCAACAGGGGCTCTCCAGTGGGAGCTTGAATGGTGACAGACTTTTCTGACCCTCTGCCATCTTTACTCCGGGGTGATTTGTGTCTCTCTCTAGTTCTCTCCCTGAAAAACAACGAGCTAGCATATTTGTGCCATGTTAATTAACTCTTTGGGTTCGCAGAAATATAAGTATCATAATGAATTTAGGAAAATTCTACACACATGCACACGCGCACATGTGCACATGCACAGACACACACAGCATCAAAACACATACCTCCTCACCACACTTCAAGGGGAACACTGATTTTTACTCCCTACTTAATATTTTCTTTCTGCCATTCCAGACCCAAAACAAAGACTGTTATTCTTCCTTTATCAACAGTGATTATTTTTTTCAAAGCTTAACATTGCAATTTTAGAATTTCTGTAGCTAGTTACACCTTACTGTAATAATTACTGATTTGATTTGGTTGAATTGTTTATTTCTCATTCTACAAGTTCAAAACTAAGTCATTCCCATAGGTTCTAACTGAACTTGAAGACAACCACAGAAACAAACAAGCTAAGACAAAAGGACAGAAGACACCAAGAGGTGTGGAGGAAGGGGTGTGTGTGTGTGTGTGTGTGTGTGTATGTGTGTTCGGGGAGGGTTTCAGGCCTCCTGAGGAAAGCAGTCTGCTGTATCATTTTACCCCACAGGAACTTCCTGGGTGGTCTTCCAGGGTGATTGTAAGAATCCTGCCTGGGGGTCATTCATGAAATTCCAAAAGGAACCAATCACTGTGGCCAAACCCAGGTCACAACCTGGGCAATAATTACTTATGGAAACTGGCACCCCCCCCTCCAGCTGCCAACAGGAAACCCAGAAGACCCCACCTAAGGACCTCTCAAGGGTCAGTGAGTTCCCTCAGCCTCCTGCCCCCACAGCCTCGTTGACATCAGCCCTGCTTCCTACAAGCACTTGCCCTCATTCCCAAGGTCTCCCAGGCAGGATAGAAACAGATTTTGGGGAGACAAGCAGCTCTTGGTTCTGCCCTACCAGATGTGTGATCTTGCATGAGTTATTCAATCTTGCACGAGTTATTCAATCTCTGAAAACCTCAGTTTCTTTATGTATGAAATGGTGACACCACCACCACCTAACGTAAGTAGTGCTCAGTACAAGGATGTGGGGTAAGTGCTAGCACACAGTGGCTGTAATTGCTATTACTATTAGCCAATGTCAAAGAATGGTGTCTTCACTTAGTGACACAGAGTGTCTATACCCCGGAGAAAGAGATGTAAGTACAACTATTAACACACAACATATCTTCTGTTAACCTACTACTTAGCTTTAGAAAATGCAGATTTCTTACTAAACTCCTTATCATTATCTCCCTGGGATAAGCACTGATTGATTCCTTCAAAGAGCCAGGAGGCTCCCATGGCCAAGGGAATCTTTTGATGACAACTCTATCCCTAGAGCACAACTTATAATTACAATCTATTGCTGATTTGGGTGTCCCCACCCAAATCTCACGCTGAATTGTAACCCCCAATGCTGGAGGTGGGGCCTGGTGGGAGGTTTCTGGATCATGGTGATGAACCCCTCGTGGCTTGGTGCTATCTTCACAATAGTGAGCGAGTTCTTGGGAGATCTGATTTTTTAAAAGTGTGTGGCACCTCCTCTCCCAACTCTCTCTTGCTCCCGCTTTCACCATGTGATGGGCCTGCTCCCCCTTCATCTTCTGCCACGACTTTAAGCTTCCTGAGGCCTCTCTAGAAGCCAAGCAGATGTCAGTACCATGCTTCCTGTAAAGCCCGAGGAATCGTGAGCCAGTTAAACCTCATTTCTTTATGAAGGGACTCAGGTATTTCTTTTCTTTTCTTTTTTTTTTTTTTTTTTTTTGAGATGGAGTCTTGCTCTGTCACCAGGCTAGAGTGCAGAGGGGTGATCTCAGCTTACCGCAACCTCCTACTCCCAGGTTCAAGCAATTCTCGTGCCTCAGCCTCCCATGTAGTTGGGATTACAGGCACACATCAGCATGCCTAGCTAATTTTTTTATATTTTTAGTAAAGACGGGGTTTCACCATGTTGGCCAGGATGGTCTCAATCTCCTGACCTCGTGATCAGTCCACCTCAGCCTCCCAAAGTGCTGGGATTACAGGTGTGAGCCACCGCACCCAGCCAGGTATTTCTTTATGGCGATGCAAGAACAGACTAATACAACTGCTAAGTTAGACTCTAAAAACAGAGGTGTTCTGGTCAACTCAGGTATTTTAACAAGGCAGCTAGGGAAACAGCCAAATAAGCAGAGAACTTGGTTGTTTACCCAGAGATACATCTAACAATGCCAGTTACCTCACATCCTACCTCACCATTCTCCAGAGCCTGAAACCCTAACCTGTGTGTCTTAAACTTTGAACACTTCTTAAACTTAAAAAAGTGTACAGAAAAACTACCCTGGATGTGAGGTAATTGGCATTGTTAGATGTATTTCTGGGTAAACAGAATTTTATAGAACTTATACAACACTTTGCTGAATGCTTCACTATATTAATTTCATTCAATCCTAATAATAATCCTATGAAGCTAATATTATTGTCTTCATTTTACAGACAAGGAAACTGAGGCTCACAGAGTTTAAGTTACTTCCCAAAGTAGTATTATAGTAAGTGGCAGACCTGAATTCGGGTCTGTTGCCACCACTTCTATCAAACCCACTACGGTGCATGAAGATTTCATGGCCTAAGTATTCTTCAAGCTCATTTTCACACCCTTATACTTGAAAACTACTAGAGCTATGGAATACGCCTTTGAAGCTACTGCTAGGAGTCACAATTGGACCATGACCTTAGATAGCACAAAGCTGTGTGCCCAACACTCTGGGCTGTCAAATACAATCACTTCAAAAGGCACCCACTGTGAGAAACAATAAACAATTTGGGAGAGACTTTCCTTGTGTTTGGTCAGTTGTAGAACTAACCTCAGAATCAGTCTAGAATGGCTGCTTCACCTGGCCCTGCCTTCGGCCAGATGGACACAGCCCCTCTTCTATCTTAATCCATTTCCACCTCCCCCAGCTGCTCTCACATTTATCACTCTCTCGGCCACCAGCCAAGTCACATGCCCACCTAACCCATCTATCTATTCACTGGTCCCATGGGTCAAATCTTCTGACAGCACAAATTCCACTGGAAATCAAAATTCTTTCACTGAGTGCCAATTCCCAGAGCCTGAACCCTACCAGGGCAGAAAGCAGGTGGGGAGCTACCCAGGGGTGGAAACGGCCTCTCTCACCAGCCAGGGCTCCCATCACCAGCCCTCCCAGCCTGGCTCTTAAAGGGCCCAGGAGCACCCAAATGTGAAATAACTGTCCAGCAATTCCCCTGGTAACATTAGAGGGAAACCAGAGAACTTACTGTCTGATAACCTAAGGAAGGTTTCTCATTCTCCAGAGCCCAAAACCCTAACCAGTGTGTCTTAAACTTTAAACACTTCTTAAACTTAAAACAGTGTACAGAAAAACACCCTGGTTAGAGACTCAAGTGCAGATTTGTGGGCCCCACTCTCAAATAATTTTCTGGAAGGGAGACACCAGAAGTCAAAATTTTCTCCAGCATCCCAGGTGACTGCAGGTGGTAAAAGAAACTTGCCCCAAGATTCTCTTGCCAAATGCTCCTGGAAGGAGGTTGTGGGTGACCGCTTGGAAGTCTGCCTCTTTGTAAAATGCCCTGTATATAGCAGGGACTCGATAACAGGAGCCATGAGTGTAACACTCAGCTGCACAATGTTACAATACACAGCGTCACTTTATTAAAATAGTATGAAGTGGATGAATTTGGGAGAAAGGCTCAGGACTGAGGGACACCGTCAGGTGAGAGGTGAAGGTGAGGCTCTTCCCGTCAGCTCAGCACCAGCGCTGTGCCAGGTTCTGGTCCTGCTACCAAGGGAGCAGAACCTGCCATACAGCTTTTATTTTAAAAAAAAAAAAATTTTAGAAAATTAGAGAAACTTTAGCAGAAATCACTGGTCCCCAATGACTGCTCTAAGAAGGTCTCTGAGCCAAGCCAGGACTTCATAGTGACACTCTATAAACGTTCTGCCATTCAGTGCTTTCCAGTCTGCAGACCTGCGAGTCACAGTGTGGCCACCTCACTGTAACATGTTCTCAAATGCTCACCCCTGTAGCACCAGAGGCTGTCACTCCAGGGGAAACCTACGGTGGCCAAGTGCTGTCTAGAGAGGGCTCCCCAATAATGAAGACAATCTGTTCACGGCGTCTTAGAGTATGGAAATGGGAGACCAGGGGAGTAAACAGGCTGCCATGCCACAGGGAGGTGTGTTGCAGACACATGTACACTTGCGTGTTTTTCCAACTCTGCCTCAGTGGGCTGGATCACTCCTGTGCCTTTGCTGGGCTGCTGTGTCAACTACGAGGGGTTTTCTTGGTATCTTTATCTCTGAATCTGTCTGCATGCAACATCTGCTGTATGAGTAAAGATAAGTCTATCTGCGTGTGTGAAGGGGCAGGAAGAACAAGTGGTGGCATGCAGGCAGCCGGGCATGTGTCTGCACCGCACGTGGGTGAGCAAATGCCTCTGTGTAGGTGGTTCTAGAGCTAAGCCCTTGGGGGCTGCTGTCACCCTCCTCGTTCCAGCCAGAACCCCTGTAATTACCACTGTTCCCACTTACAGTCAGCATTTCCTGGGAAGATTATTTAGTCCTGTTTCTGTTGTTTGCCTATTTCTATTTGGGGAAAGCTGGCCCCACCGGTTACTCCTCCCTTTCCTTCTCTCCCACCACCCACGACCTGCCCTTTCTCTCTGCTGGCTACTGGGGCCCGGCTGGCTGCTTCCTCTTGGCTGTGACGGGGGTAGGAGGGCTGGGCGCAGGGCACACAGACTCTGAAGCAGGCTTGGAACAAAAGCACCAATTCCTCCACTGCCCCAACAGCCCTCTTTTTGTGTATTTCAGCACATTAGTCACATGAGTCACACTTCATTTCCCTTTCCAAAAGTAGCATTTCCCTTCTAACGAAACAAGGTGGGCCCCAAATCTGCTGAGGGCACCTACAGTACTAACTGTACGTTTAGACAAATAGCGGTGCCCTCTGTGCCTCTATTTCATCACCTGCAAATGGGGCTACGACCCCCCCATCGTCCTAGGACTGATGAGAATACAAGATCATAGCTATGAGGGGCCTAGCAGACACCCCCAAAGCAGTTAACATGGCTGGCAGCCGCTGTGTTTAAATCAGGGAACTTGCGCTCCAAGCCCAAAGGTTAGGTGGGGCCAGCAAGAGTCCACACTATTCTCCCACCTATCCTCCCAGTTAACTGGACACCCGCTGGGGACTGCAAGCATCACAAAACCAGGCCACCGACCTCTTTGTTAGAAAAGAGTCACTTGTCATCTGCTTGGAATCTGGCCAGTCTTCTAAGATGATCTCGGTGTCATCAAGCATATCAAGCATGGTGCATTTCATTATTCCTCCCTGAGTTGGAGTCTGACTGAAATTACCAGAGAGCATGGTTCCCGCCACGCCCCCCAACCCCCGGCACCTTGCTACCCTTCCATTCAGGTTCCCAACAAACCTCTGAGCAGGGCAGCCCTCACAGGGACACTCCTGGGACAAAACACTCTTGGCTAGGCCTGGGGCCTGCTCTCAGCCCGCGGAGGGTACCCCTACTGCTAAACTTTCTTTAGGCCCCAGCAAAGTACATCACAGCCCAAGCTCTCCAGGGATGGCACTCGTCACCCCACAGCTGCGGTGCCCCGCGCTGCCATCAGCTGAGAATCCGCCACCGATAGGTGGTCGTGGCATTTTTAAAGAACCCATGGAGTGCACTACAAATCTCTGAGGCTCATCTCCTCTCAGAGCTTTTCTCAGAGTAAATATCCAGGAACATTTTTTGAATAATTGATTAAAAGTCTCAGCTTGTATTAACATTTGCCAAGTACTTTCCACATGGGTCCAAGAATGCATTAAAAGTTCTGCATGTTGTTTTAATTGGAAGTTACAGTCTCTTTGAGTCACCACAAGGGCATTGGAATATCAATTTCTGGGGACCCCAAGAGGCCTAAGGAAATAGCAGAGCGTAGCAATGGGCCCCGAAGCATGAAAGTCAGAACTTGAGTGTAGACAAAAGAGGCCAGAGATGGTTCCCACAAAGAATACAGCAGGTCAACCTCCTTTATTCACCCAAGTACCCAGAGGGAAGCCTGGCGTTGACAAGGGAATTATGAAAAAGTGCTAAAAACTGGTATTTTAAAACAGCCATTTCTGGTATTTCATAACTAAATCTGCTAAGTTTATCCTCCAGCTGAAATGTATGATTAAATTGTTATGGCCAGAGGGTTTCTGACTGTCTCAGGAGTTGGACTCTGCCATGTGACCCCAGGCCTCGTCCAGCGGCACCTGCCCCAGAGCTCCTTCTTTTTCTCATCCTGATCTGAAAGCCTCACCTGGGCTCCAGCACAAGCCCCCTGATATGTTTTCCCCAAATTTTTATGATAAGAGCAATATGTAAAAATTTAGGAAAGTTGCCGGGCGCGGTGGCTCACGCCTGTAATCCCAGCACTTTGGGAGGCCGAGGCGGGTGGATCACAAGGTCAAGAGATCGAGACCATCCTGGTCAACATGGTGAAACCTCGTCTCTACTAAAAAAATACAAAACATTAGCTGGGCGTGGTGGCGCGTGCCTGTAGTCCCAGCTACTCAGGAGGCTGAGGCAGGAGAATTGCCTGAACCCAGGAGGCGGAGGTTGCGATGAGCCGAGATCGCGCCACTGCGCTCCAGCCTGGGTAACAGGAGCGAAACTCCGTCTCAAAAAAAAAAAAAAAAAAAAAAATTTAGTAAAGTTACAAAGAAAATACAACCACCGTCCTATACTCAGACGCAGGCATAGTCACTATGTGAGCACACATCGTATATACATGTAACTATTACGGCATACAACACTTTGAATTCTGTTTCTTATAACATGGTCTCATGAACATGTTCTCATGTCATCAGATACCTTTGAGAACCCTTCCTTTATACTCTATTCCATTCATTTCTAAAAATTACAAAATATACACGTGTAAAAAAAACTGAACAATTACAAAAACATAAATGAAAGTTCTCATCAGTCTTCAGCTTCTGCCAAGCCTCCCCCTGTGGATGACCACTCCTGGCAGCTTGGAGAATACCCTCCCAAGCCTCTTTCTATGTGAGTGACCCAGATGGGCTTGTAAATAATTAGGCGTATGTAGCTCACCGCTGTTTTACGGAACAAAATCTCACTCTGCATGCGGCTGCTTATATGGAGAACAGCTCAGTCAGGGAAACAGCACTACAATCACTGTTCCCAAGTCAGTGCAGAGCTGGGCATCTGGACTGGAGCCAGCTGGTACCTTGGAACATAGTGCTGAAATGCCAAGGCCTTCAGCATTAATCCAACCACTGGCAAGTGACCTCCAACCTGTACTGTGTTACATGCCTTACACGCATCATCTCATTTAATCCTCTCAACAGCCCTGTAGGAGAGGACTACTGTACCCATTTCACAGATGAGAAGGGTAAGTAAATGGCAGCACTGCAATTTCACCAAGTCCAATCCTAACTGGCACAGCACCACCTATCTGTTCACTGATTTCTTTATTCGTTCATTTGCTCTTCTACTTAGCAAATGTGCTGCAGGTCAGTAACACAGCAGGCCCTAAGAATACCAGGGCACACCTGTTTATCTTGCAGAAAAGGGGGAGTTTGACCAATATCACCCAGGACAAGGTTTTCAAAACCCAGACTGGTTCACCTTAAGATGAGTCTAAGAGAAATAAGATGCCAGGCCAATCCCACCAGTTCACTAAGTAAGCCTCAGGACAAAGGCGTAATGGACAATGAGTCAACAATTTCAGGTGAAAAGCAACAAGCAATGAACACTTTTTAAATCTTCCATTTAGCCGGGCGCGGTGGCTCAAGCCTGTAATCCCAGCACTTTGGGAGGCCGAGGCGGGTGGATCACGAGGTCAAGAGATCGAGACCATCCTGGTCAACATGGTGAAACTCCGTCTCTACCAAAAATACAAAAATTAGCTGGGCATGGTGGCGCGTGCCTGTAATCCCAGCTATTCAGGAGGCTGAGGCAGGAGAATTGCCTGAATCCAGGAGGTGGAGGTTGCGGTGAGCCGAGATCACACCATTGCACTCCAGCCTGGGTAACAAGGGCGAAACTCCGTCTCAAAAAAAAAAAATCTTCCATTTACATTCTTCATAAAGCTTTCAGGAGAGCCAATACCTATAAGAAATACCTAGAAATGAAAAACATTTCCACTGCAGGAAGAAACTTTAATTTAAAATTAATTGTGAGAAATTACAGTCATCAGCTCTAATGGTGGCTATGAAACGCAAACTGGTAGCACAGTTACTCCCAAGGATGTTAAATGCTCTTAAAGCTCAGCTTCTCACGCACCAACAGACCGAACCTCCAGCGCGAAGTCAATGAAAAGTGAGTGTAGAGAACCCCACCAACCTGTAGGTTTCCCCAAACGGAAAAGTGGAATAATGAACAACTTACATACCCTTGTCTGTGAGACTTTTTCGAATGACTTGAATAGTAAGAATATCCAGAATAAGTGGATTCGGTATCCATAGCAATGGAGGGCTTGCCCTTGAGGAAGGAGTAGGTACTGTATCTCCTTAGAGGTAGAGAATTTCACCCAGACTCCTAAAATCTCGAGGAGTCTGGAAATTAGAAGAGGAGCCACTCTTCAACAGGAACAAATTCTGAGAAAGAGGGAAAAAACATGACATCAATCTTCAAAGCCAACCAACGGGGCTGAAAGATAAGTGACAAAGCCACACCTCCTCTCTGGGGTCTCTCTCCAGGGGAGAGAGGGTGAGGCAACTGAACTCTAAATGCTCCGCCCGTGCAGCCACCAGCTTCCCCAGGTGTGTGGGAGACAGGATGGGTGCTGAGCAGGCTGAACCCCATCACGGCAGCAGGAAAATGGGAGGCACTTGTCCACGTCCTCAGGACAACCTCACCCCTGCTCACTGGCTTTAGGAGATGGTTTTCCATATCTACAGCCCTCCACACCATGTCCAACCCCCACTGCAGTTCGCTGGTTATAAAAACAATACCCAGTGAAGTTGCTTTTTAGGGATTCGGTCACAATTTCCAAATGCCAATTAGAAAGAAAAAAAAAAAGATCTTCCATCCTTTTGATCCAAGATTGAGAATTTATCTTAGGAAACTAATTTCTTTTTAAAAGGAAAAATTATTGTCGTCTCATTGTCTATAAATAATAAAATGCTACAATCTGAATGCCCACAGAATAAAGGAATAGGTCAGGAAAACATGGTTCATCCACCAGAAAAGTATCACATATGTTTAAAATGATTATTATAAGAAATGGAAACTCTTATAAAGACAAATTTTAAAAGCAGAATACAGTACTTTTGATACACAGTGAATCAACATTACAGTTAGTCACACAAAATTGCTTACGTGAGGACAAAGATTTTTAAAAGGAGACATGGAAAATGAAAGCAGGTAATATATTATTTGCAGGCTCCTGGGTTTTTTCCCACATTTTCATTCGATATTGCTTTGTAATAAAAATAAATTGGAAACATTTCCAAGTACATTCCTGAGCTCCCAAATGCTAAATTTTTACTTCTAGAAAACTGAGATCCACAAGTTGTCTCTCTCTGCACCCCTCACCCCAGAGCTAGTCTCTGCTCCACAGGGTTCCTTCTTCCAGCTGAAACTGCAAACACAGTCAGTGAGGTAAGTGTGAAGAAAAAACAAAGGCTCTGTAAATGCCATTCCTTAACCCTCCTGGCAGGAGGCCAGGTTTTCCTGACCCCCCGCCCCCCACCAGCAACAACACAGAAGTCTGGTGGGAATCAGGTCAGCCCAAATCGCCATACACCACCACAACAGCCCTGAGAGCCTCCAATCCCAGTTAGGGTGCATTTGCCCTTACCATTCATTCCTCCTGGAAGTCAGGTGCATTCACTTCCAGGGCCAGCCTCCTTTGTCTCTGATGCCCTGACTTATGATTTCACTTCCCCTCTGCCATCAAGAGCCCAAGGCTAGCCCTGGGGAAACCTGAGTTCTGGCCTGAGCTCAGCCACTGTGTAGTACAACCTGGGATAAGCCACTTGCCTTCTTATGCCTCAGTTTCCTCATCTGTTAAACGGGGTAAACCAACCAACCACCGACCTCACAGGTTGATCTGAAAATATAAGCAGATAAAGTTTCTAGAGGCAGGTCTAACCTAGGGTTTTACTTACTTATTAGCTATCAGGCCCCAGTCGAAATTAGTAAACCTATTTGAACATGTAACTGTAAAATGCAAAGAGCTGGGTTGCCGTGAAGACCAAATGAGCTAACAACTTTAACAACTTTGAGGTACCCAGCAGGAGCTCCAGATGTGCTAAGTAAACGAAAGGTGGCGGCTATCACGACTCCCTTTAAGGCTTCTGAAACTCCTGTTCCTCTGTCTCTGTAATGAGAGAAATACTTTGCAAAGAAGCAGGGCACACAGAGTTTCTGTGCTGGCCTTCCTGCCACAAGGCTCGCCTATGGGCTCACCGGCAGCCAGACACAAGGGAGCTCGCATCTCAGCCCTACTAGTTAGCCTATTAACTAGCTATAAACCCGGGTAAAGCAGTTTCTCCCTGGAGCCTCAGAGATTTCCCAATCCATAAAAAGGAAGCAAGGCAGCCTGTTATGGGGGAAGGGGAAGGGAGGTAACGGCAAAGATTAAATGTGAAAACAAACACAGCAGGCCTTTTTTAAATGCTGTTTTGCTCCTGGACTTACCCTACTTTCCTAGAAGACTCCAAGAGCTGAGTCATCTTTTTTCTCCCTACTGTCCCCACCATTTTAACTAGCAGTTTCCACCAGCTTTCAACACCTCAGTCTCACTTCCTTGCTGCCCTGGGCTTTGCTGTTTTCTCACCTGCTTCGTAAAAAGGCGGACATCAACATTAGAAGGTACTTCCAAGATACCTAACCCTGCGTGAATTGAGATGCTCACTGAAAACCCCTCACCCAGCTCTCTGCTGATCTGCAGATTCTAATGTCCCGTTCCCTGGTCCAGAACAGTAAATTCCCTCTCTTGCCGATTCATAATTAACCCTTCACAACTCCTACACTCTTTCTGCCTTGCAACCCGTAACTCTGGATTCCCCATTCCATCTCAACTTCTGGCTACTTTTTGCTAAATGCTGCTGGAGTGTCTCAGAGGCAGGCGGCCCAGGCCCTGCAGATCTGGGCAGATCCAGCTGGGTGCTTCCTAACTGTGACATCAGGGGGCAGATGCTTGCCTTTCTGAGCTTGTCCAACCCCGCCCCATAAAATGAGGTCATTTAATATTCTCCCTTCCCAGAGGTCTTGCGAGGATTAAATGAAACTGCAAGGGTAAAGTCTCCGGCACATGGTAACCCAAGTTTTATTCCTTCCCCCTCTGTCCGAGGACTTCATTCCTTATCCTCATTGAAAACTTGTGGCCAATCAATAAGCCAACTCCAGGCCTGTCCCTCAAAGGAAACCATGGGTCCCAACTGCCCTCCGGGGAAAGTCTTTATCTAACACTACCAACAACCCTAGTCCGGTTTCCTTCCCAAGATTCCTGCCTGTCCTTACCAAAGGCGTGGTCTACACATGCTGTCACTCCCTCCTTCTCCGTTGTCACTCCAAATCCCCATCCATAACACTCCACTGAAACAACTCAAAGTTCGCCAGGGATCACTGTGGGCGAGCAGCTCCCCCAGTGTTTATTCCATTTATTAGTCCATCCACCTCCAGATTAAGTGGCGGCTACAAGACCATGCCAAGCAATGCTAGGGCACAGCAATGACAAATGCATGCTGCCTGCCTAGCAGAGCTTCTCTGCAGCTGGCCAGCCTCCAATGTGATGGTGAGTATGTTACGACTTCTCTAACACTCCCTCTCCTCTCCCCTCATTAACTTATCCCTTGACGTTCAAAGCTCTCCTCATTCTTCTCCATCTACAGATTTACTATGGCAGAAGCTCCTGAAGACAGTAGCTCTGTCTCCACCCAGGGTATTTTGAATATAACAGTTATCCAACAAATATTTACTGAAAGACTAAATCCCAAGTACATACCCCCCTCCCAGGTGTTCTCCAGTATCCTGTCCTGTTCTTCCCAATTTCTCACTAAAGCAATGCCCTCATCCTATGAATCCAATCCTGTGCCGCCTTCAACACCCTCTCTGATCCTCCCCTCCTCATTCTGCTAATTCACAGCCACCCACTTCCTCCAGGCTCCACCTACACGGGGATAGACCACGACAAAGCCTCCAGGTGTCCTCACCCCATCCAGTCTACACAGCTCAGGCCCCTTCTAAGCCATACCATTTCTAATAGTTACGAACTCTTATCCTAGCCAAGATCTGAATAAGGATTAAGGAGATGCAATAAAAGGCAAACTAATAAAATCCAAAGGGAACTCATTTTAACAGAGTCTGAGCCAAGGTAAGAACTTCAATAGACTTAATAGAAAAGGATATCCTGAAGCTTATCACTGCAATGATATATCTAGGAGATAGTTCCCTTGCATACACAGAAATTAACAAGACTCATGATAAGGGCAGAAGGAATCCCTTATCAGAAAAGATAATAAAGCAATGGAAAAGGAGTCAGGTTCCCAGCGTAATAAACTGATAGGCTAGCATGAATGGGACAGTCCTATAAAGGTGGGAACACGGCTCCCAGAACCTGGAACTGTCTATCATACTGATCCCTGACATGACTCATATTGTGTTTGGCCCAGGTTGGACAGCAGCCAGAATGACCTTTTAAATTACAGTGCAGACTTGACTTCCCTGTTTAAAACCTTTCCATGTGTCCTATTGCACTTTAAATACAACATAAAATCTTTCATTTGGTATGCAATGTCCTGCCCAGTGCTCCAGCTCCCTCCTCCTCCTCCAGCTCCAGCTCCTTTAAGGCGGAGCTTTAGGGCTTTGGCAGAGCCCAGTCTATCTGTTGGTACTCACCTTTTACATGCCCTGTTTTGCCAAATTCCTACTCCGTCACTCCTCAATTTAAATACTGCTCCTTTCAAGAGGCCTTTCCTGATGCTCCAGTCTCAATCGGCTCTTCTCTAGCACCCTGTACTCTTCCTTTCTATCCAGCTTCCACGTATACATTTGTTTGTGTGATCACTTACTGTCTAGTTCCTCTACAGGCTGTAAGCTCCACGAGGGCAGAGTACTTTCATGACTGTCTGTCTCTCCAGCTCCTAGGACATTATGGGTACCGTATAAATGTCTGCTGAGTGCAGGGTTTTGCGGCAGATTTTAGGACTTGAGGCCATAGATTCACTGTGGAAGAAACTTTAGAAATTATCTATTTTAGGCCGGGCGCGGTGTCTCACACCTGGAATCCCAGCACTTTGGGAGGCCAAGGCGGGCAGATCACCTGAGGTGGGGAATTTGAAACCAGCCTGACCAACATGGAGAAAACCTTGCTCTACTATAAATACAAAATTAGCTGGGCATGGTAGCACATTCCTGTAATCCCAGCTACTCGGGAGGCTGAGCCATGAGAATCATTTGAACTCAGGAGGTGGGAGTCGCAGTGAGCAGAGATCGGATTGGTGCCATTACACTCCAGCTTGGGCAACAAGAGTAAAACTCCATCTCAAAAAAAAAAAAAAAAAAAAGAAAGAAAGAAATTATCTATTTTAAATACTTAGTTTTATGGATGAAAAAAAAAAAAAGATGCCGATATTAGATAGAGCAGTGATACCGGAAATATCAAAAACCAGAGCTATCCTACTGGCTTGCATGGCAGCCCTACTCAGGGGCAGAGGTCATACTGCAGACACACTGAGTAAAAATCAGCAGCAGCCTCTTTCAGCCACTGCTCAAGAGCATCCCACCTCACCCGTCAGCCACCCTTCAGAGTGCATTGCTTGCCACTGCTTGGGTTGGAGCTAGAAGCAAATATCAGGACAGGGCCAGGCTCATCAAACCACATCACACGCAGGCAAGGTCAACCCTAGGAGACAGGCGCACGGGGCGTTTCTGAGTGGCCGTGTCCTGAACTCCGGACTTCCTAGGCAAAAATGTCAGAAAGAACCTCCTTTACCATCCTTTATTAAAAGCAAAATGAAGACTGGCAGCCTCAGACAGAATTCTCCCCTAAAGTCAGGTTCACTTATATAAAAATCCTACTACTTAAAATGAAAACACAGTGTTTAGCAAATCGTATGAAGGAAATAATATATTATGATAATGACAGTGGTAAACATAAGCTAACCTTTGCAAAAAGGAAATTATAAAAACATCAACAGCTCTGCCTAGAGCTATTAAGTAATTAAGGGAGCTCTGGTTTGGAAAGTTACTCTGTAAGGGGTACAGAGACACACATTGAATTTAAAGAGACATTTTGCTTCCTCTGCAGTAGATCTATTTCCAAGGGAAAGTGGCATCTGGTACAACCATGCTTATATACGCTGTGTACATTACTTTGAATATTTGATTATTACATAGAATTCTACAGGGTTTATGCTATTAATTATTTATATTATGTCTTGAAGCTAACATTCTTCTTAGGGGTACCCATTTTTAATTAAATAGCACTCAAGGGGAATGTGACAATTGAAATAATTTTGTCTAGAGTCAACTATTCTTCTAGAGAGTAGCAATAAGCCCAGATGGTGGAGTTAAGAGCATTCAAATCCTGGCTCTAGTACTTAGCTATGTGACCTCTGAGGAAGTTACTTAACTGCTTGTTGCCTCAGTTTCCCTAACTGTAACAATAAATTTTATTTTACTTACATTATAGGTCTGTGGTGGGCATTAAATGAGAAAATTCATAAAAATTACTAGAACAGTGCCTAGCACATGGTAGGCACTCACAACTGTCAACTCCTATTAGTATTCAGTAACATGAAATTTGTTCAGTTAGGAAGAACTGAAGGGGTTGCACGGCATATAATTCCTATATCATTTGTACCAAACATGTATCATTTTTCTGGTCTCTGCTATCACCTTTAACTACTGCTATAAACTATAGCTAAGCAACAAGTGATTTCTATTCTGTTCCTTACAGGCCTCTATTTACCATCCCCAGGTTAGAAGCAAATGTCAGAGAGACCAGAGAAAACCGTGTGTGTTTTAGTGGGTTTATTTGGAGGGGCTTGGGGCCGGAAAGGAGAGGGCAGAGATGCAGGGCGAGATCTATAGAACATTTTGAACTTCTGTCTATAAACCATCAAACGTCACACAGGTCACTGATGTGAGGATCCACTGAGCTTATGGCATTTGTGACAAACCAAGTGATCCTTTTATTACAACAGCTTATAAATGAAGGATTCTGGGTCATCATTCACAAGGAAAGAAAATGTATACTTCGTTTTACTTGTTTCACCAATGAGTTCACTCCTTGCCAGAATCGCTTCTCTCTCCAGTCATGAATTACCCTGAAACACCTCCAGCAGCTGGGTACAGATTTCTGAAGAGCTGTGAATTGTTAACATGTCTGGAGTTCTGTGATGTGCATTTGTTTGCAAGTGACTCCCTGGTCCCCTGCCAGACACTCAAACTTCAGAAAAATAGATCGCATCACTACTGCCTCCTCTGTAACTCTGATGGTATGGGGTCTAATCGCTGCTTTTCTATAGTGGGATTCAGAAGGACATTGCTAGAGACAGCAGAACCACATGTATTCCTGTACCAAACTTCAGAGGGAAGCAAGTATCAGGAGTGTAACGGCATCAATCTGAGCAGAGATCAGAATACTGATCTGAATGCTGCTAACAGAAACATGGTCCAATCACAAGCCCACCTCATTCTGTCCATCTTACAGAAAATAGAATAGGATGATGCCCTAATTACATGCCCTATACAGTACAGCAAGATCCTAACTAGCTAGCTGACTTTACAGAGATGATGGTAATAGTCTAACAGTTTATGGTTGTCAAGTGTTCACTATGTGTTAGATGCTGTTTTAAGTCACTCACATATAATGTCTCGCTTAATCCTCATCACAAGACTTTAAGGAAAAGAAAACATTAATATCATGTTAGTTAGGGAAACCAGACTGACACACTGGAGTCAGGGCTTGAACGATGAGAGTCTAACTCCAGAACCTGTGCTTTTAGCTACAGAAAATTTACAGCATTGTAGCAATTACCAGAATTGCTTATTTATATAGAGGAGTATAAGCAACAATCATAAACTGTCCCAAACTACATGTAACCCCATAAAGAATTTTGCAATTTCAACTTCTACTCACAGGTTCTGTGTTCCAAGCATTGTGGGGCATTCAAGAGAAAAATGAATCTAAAATAGTTCCAAATCCTAAGGAGCTCACAGCCCCAATGTGGAGATCTCCAATTAAAACATAATGTGATAAGGGCCCATCCCACCCAAATAGCTGATAAAGCCTAGGACAGCAAGCACGGTGTGTGTGTGTGTGTGTTAAGGGGATGATAACAGGGAAGATGCCTTCTTCATTCAGCACATTTATCCTTCAACAAAGGGTGCCATGCAATTGTTGCTTGGTAAAGAAACTTTAAATTTCCTTTATGGTTTTGTCCTGTTGCTTCATACATAAGACAATAAGAATGTACGGCTTGGTAAGTAATCTTTACAAACATGTCACTCTCAAAATTCTTCTCCCATTTTAATTAAGTTGCTAGCAAGCCTCACTGCCGACATTGTTAACAGTGAACTTTCACCCTGAGTGTTTTCACTAATTACACTGAGAGACAGCAAAGTTTGGGAACGTTTAATGCTCACCGATAGGTGAAGCGTGTTATTTCTTTGAACTGTAAAAAGAAACAGTTTCCTCCCACAAATCAAAGCCCCAACTATATCACATCGATTTAATTCAACTCTAAAAACTCTGTAATTAGTGGTTACAGAAAATGGCTAATTGCCTCTCCCTGCATTCAGGCAATTTCTGCCATCTCATTTACAGAGCCTGGGAGCTGTGTGCTCAACCCACCCACTGAAAGGAGAATGCTAATTATCATTGTTGATTGGTGATACAAGTAATAATATTTTTCAGCAACCCTGTAAAATTTACAAACATGTCAGTGAAAATACCAGATTCTTCACAGTTTGTTAGCCTTTGAACTAAGTGTCTAAGATACATTCTTTTCTAACCAAAGCCCGAGCAAGAGTTTTAACGAAATGCACTGGTTATCCACACAATCACCATCATAAGGCGCTCCAGTACTTCCTAACCAGCATCTAAGGGCGCTCACGACATCCTTCGCAGGGTGGGCATTACACCTGGTTTGGAGAAGTGAAAACTGAGCAACAGATTTCTGGACTCCAAGTCTCATCTGCTCATCACCCAGCAGCCAGGCCGCGGCTCTGCCCGACTCCTGCCGCCACTACGGACGCGTTTAAATTTTTATAAAGCTTCACACTTCTCCAGGCGCGATGCTTGGGCAGTTCAAAGGCTGCAGAAGGAAATGAAGTCCTGCCCGTGGCGAAGGCTGCCCCGGCGCGGTGAGATTTCCTCCAGCAGGGACACCTTGGGCAGAGACCCGCCGGGCGCCTCGGCTCCACCCCGGCGTTTTTGAAAGTAAACTCCTACCTGCCTGTTGCTCTCTCCGAGGCGCAACCGGACTCGCCCCCCAGGCCTCCAGGGCCGGCTCAATTTTTTGTGACCGAGGTGTGCACACAGACCAGCTCTGTCCCGGTTCCTGGCGAAGGGCCAGGCGGTGCCGGGGTCGAGCCCCGCCGGGGGTGGGAATCCCGGTGCGCGCCCGGCTCCCGCCCTGCACGGCTGCTGCAGCCGCCCGGTGCCTCCAACGCTCGGCCACTCCCTGCCGGCCTGCCCGCCGCCCCTGCACGCGCACCCGAGGGGCGCACCCAAAGGCCAGGCAGGGGAGAGAGGGGCGTCCGAGGCGTGAGCAGGGCACCCCGGGACCCCAGGGAGTGGGGTGCGGCCGGGATCGCACGGCAGAGCCAGGAGGGGCGCACTGCGCGGGGAAGAGTGGAGTCGGAGGAAGCTCGACCCGGAGCGCTCCGCAGGAGGGGAGGGGGCTCCCTGTCTGAGGCGGGAGCCGGCGACCTGGGGGTCGAAGTCCCGTGGGGCGAGTGCGGGAGGAGGGCGCAGGGGCACGCGGGGTCGGGGCGGGGGCGTCTCCCCGCCAAACGTCTGTCCGCGGGGCCGCCGCCGCGCGGCGCTGGGTCTCTCGCGGGACTCACCTCCGCGCCGGCCGCCCGGGCTCCGCGGCCCGCGGTCTTGGCTCACAGCGGCCCCGGCTCTGCGGCCTGCGCTGGGCTCCTGGAGAGGCAGAGCCCCGCCGCCGCCGCTGCGCTGCTGCTTTCCGCTTCCTGTCCCGGCGCCGCCCCGCAGCCCGAGCCCAGCCCTGCGAGCCCGGCGCGGCCGCGAGCCAAGAGCAGCGAGCGCTGCCGGCCCCGCCGCGGGCCCGGCCCACCTGCCGCGGAGGGCGGGGCCCAGGTCGGCCGGCGTCCCCCTCCCCTGGTCCCCGCCCCGACCCCATGCACTCGGGACACACACGGAGGCGTGCACTGCCACACTCATGCACAGGACCCGGGGAATGACACTTCCACACACACATTCACCCTCACGCACACACTCACTCTACACAGACACGCACAGCCCAGTAACCCACCCTCTTTTGGGCAGACACGCGCGCTATTAACACACGGTCCGGGGATTGATCTCCCCCCACCCCGCGACCCACCCTCCAACATATTTGGAATCTCAAGCACATACGCACACACACACAAAATCATGCACAAAATTCAAGTCCGTTTGCCCTCAGCAGCGCCCCAACCCACATATTCACGCGGCGCAGGGATTAACCCCCCAACCCCACTCAACACACACTCATATACACACATTCCAAGAACTGACCCACAAATATCCATATACACTACATCTCAACCATATATGCACACTTAAACGCACATGTAGCCCTGGAAATGACTCCACAAATAGCCACACGCGTGCACACACCCAAACACACAGGCTCATACACACACCCTACAAGCCTAACCACCACAGTAAGCCTCTCCTCTCCTCCTCCCCTATCAGAGCAGGCACTCAGAAACTGCTAGATGTGCACATCTCTGCAAGTAGGTAGCTGAAGCTTCAGTGCCGATTCCAACCAGGGACACTTCCCTCTCTGAGCCTTTGTTTCTGTGTCTGAAAAGTGGTGAGGATGCCGTTGTCCGATGTCCGCCTTGCGGGATTGTGGTGAGTGTTACAAAAGAGTTGGCAATGCTTTTCATGAATATTTGCGCTTTTCTTAGTTGTATTGTGTTGGTAGCATTAGGGCTCCTTACTGATCATCTCCAATCTAGGCAGGACCCAAAGCTGCTTACAATGGCAGGACTTTCCAGTGGAAGCAGTGTATAATGAAGTGCTGAATTTCTTCTTTTTTTCTTTAAATATATATTTTATCGCGTTTTAGGTTTGGGGGTATATGTGAAGAACATGCAAGATTGTTGCATAGGTACATACATGGCAACGTGGTTCACTGCCTTCCTCCCCATCACCTATATCTGGCATTTCTCCCCTATGTTATCCCTCCCCAACTCCCCATCCCCCACTATCCCTCCCCTAGTCTCCCCGCACAGACCCCTGTGTGTGATGCTCCCCTCCCTGTGTCCATCTGTTCTCATTGTTCAACACCTGCCTATGAGTGAGAACATGCAGTGTTTGATTTTCTGAAACAAGTGCTGAATTTCTTAAGAGTTGTCTACAGGAATATTGCGGGTAGTTGCAGTGGAGAAACGCAGGCCCACCCCGACTAACCTTTGTCAGGGAGCTTTGGCCCCAGGAAACCCTTACTCACCTGACCACCTCTTCCTCATCCCTTCTAGCCTCCATTTTCTCCCACATATGTCACACTTCTTTGAAAAGACACCCATATGTTCAATGTGGCCAGATTTTCACCACTCCTAACCCATAGGCTCTACTGCCCCACTCAGTGGCCTAGATGGTCTCTCCCCCACCCCTAGCCTCCCAGTAGGCTCCAGAGAGCAGATGTTGCTAACTCAGGCAGCCAGGTTCCTATAGGTAAAACCAATAGTCTATTCACCCAAATCAGCACTCAGGTGCAGAAATGTAGAACATTATAAAATCATGTCTCTCTCATCTCTGGAATGTAAACCTTCCAAAGTTCAAACAGGCCGGGGATTTTTAATTCTCGTTATGTACCTGAATAGCTCCAGTGTAACACAGAGATCTTCAATGAATTTTCAGAAAGTAATTCTAATTCACTTAAGTTCTTATGTCTAGCCACCTTACCAGACAAGAGGTGTAGTTGCAAGTAAGTTATTTTAAAATAATAAATTCACCTTTAAATGTCATTTAAAGGCTGGGCACACCTATAATCCCAGCACTTTGGGAGGCTGAGACAGGCAGATCACTTGAGATCATGAGTATGAGACCAGCCTGGCCAACATGGTGAAACCCAGTCTCTACTAAAAATACAAAAATTAGCCAGATGTAGCGGCAGGCTCCTGCAATCCCAGTTACTCAGGAGGCGGAGGAAAGATAATTGCTTGAACCTAGGAGGCAGAGGTTGCAGTGAGCTGAGATCATGCCACTGTACTCCATCCTGGGCAATGGAGCGAGACTCCATCTCAAGTGAAAAAAAAAAAAAAATGTCAGGGGACCTGGGCAAGATGGGCAAATAGGAACAGCTCTTGTCTGCAGCTCCCAGGGAGATCAACGCAAAAGGTGGGTGATTTCTGCAGTTTCCAACTGAGGTCTCCAGCTTATCTCATTAAGACTGGTTAGACAGTGGGTGCCACCCACAACGGGTGAGCAGAAGCAGGGTGGGGCATCACCTCATCCAGGAAGTGCAAGGGGTCCAGGAACTCTCTCCCCTAGCCAAGGGAAGCTGTGAGGGACTGTGCTGAGAGGAACGGTACATTCTGGCCCAGACACTATGCTTTTCCCACAGTCTCTGCAACCCACAGACCAGGAGATTCCCTCAGGTGCCTGCACCTCCAGGGCTCTGGGTTTCAAGCACAAACTTGGATGGCCGTTTGGGCAGATGCTGAGCTAGCTGCAGGAGTTTTTTTGTTTTGTTTTGTTTTGTTTGTTTTTAATACCCCAGTGGCACCTGAAACAACAGCAAGACAGAACTGTTCACTCCCCTGGAAAGGAGGCTGAAGCCAGGGAGCCAAGTGGTCTAGCTCAGCAGGACCTGCCCCCATGGAGCCCAGCAAGCTAAGATCCACTGGCTTGAAATTCTTGCTGCCAGCACAGCAGTCTGAAGTTGACCTGGGATGCTCGAGCTTGGTGGGGAAAGGGGTATCTGCCATTACTGAGGCTAGAGTAGGCCATTTTCTCCTCACAGTGTAAACAAAGCCACTGGGAAGTTCGAACTGGGCAGAGCCCATGAAGCTTGACAAAGCCGCTAAGCCAGACTGCCTCTCTAGATTCCTCCTTTCTGGGCAAAGCATCTCTGAAAGAAAGGCAGCAGCCCCAGTCAGGGGCATATAGATAAAACACCCAGCTTCCTGGGACAGAGCACCTGGGAGAAGGGGCGGCTGTGGGGGCAGCTTCAGGCACACTAAATGTCTGCCTGCCAGCTCTGAAGAGAGCAGCAGACCTCCCAGCACAGTGCTCAAGCTCTCTAAGGGACAGACTGCCTCCTCAAGTGGGTCTCTGAGCCCCATGCTTCCTGACTGGGAGATACCTCCCAGCAGGGATCGACAGACACCTCATACAGGGGAGCTCCAGCTGGCATCTGGTGGATGCCCTGTAAGATGAAGCTTCTAGAGGAAGGAACAGGCAGCAATCTTTGCTGTTCTGAAGCCTCTGCTGGTGATGCCCAGGCACACAGGGTCTGGAGTGAACCTCCAGCAAACTCCAGCAGACCTGCAGCAGAGGGTCCTGACTGTTAGAAGGAAAACTAACAAACAGAAATAGCATCAACATCAACAAAAAGGACATCCACACAAAAACTCCGTCCAAAGATCACCAACCTCAAGACCAAAGGTAGATGAATCCACGAAGATGAGGAAAAACCAGCGCAAGAAGACTGAAAATTCCCAAAATGAGAACGCCTCTTTTTCTCCAAAGGATCACAACTCCTCATCAGCAAGGAAACAAAACTGGACAGAGAATGAGTGTGACAAATTGACATAAGTAGGCTTCAGAAGGTGGGTAATAACAAACTCCTCTGAGCTAAAGTAGCATATTCAAACCCGATTCAAGGAAGCTAAGAACCTTGAAAAAAGATTAGAGGAATTGCTGATTAGAATAACCAGTTTAAAGAAGAACATAAATGACCTGATGGAGCTAAAAAAAAAAAAAACCACAGCACTTCATGAAGCATACACAAGTATCAATAGCTGCACTGATTAAGCAGAAGAAAGGATATCAGAGACTGAAGATCAACTTAATGAAAAGAAGCATGAAGGCAAGATTAGAGAAAAAAAAATGAAAAGGAACGAACAAAGCCTCCAAAATTATGGGACTTTGTGAGAAGACCAAACCTGTTTGATTGGTGTACCTGGAAGTGATGAAGAGAATGGAACCAAGTTGGAAAATGCTCTTCAGCACATTATCCAGGAGAACTTCCCCAACCTAGCAAGACAGGCTAACATTCAAATTCAGGAAATACAGAGAACACCACAAAGATACTCATTAAGAAGAGCGGCCGGGTGCGGTGGCTCAAGCCTGTAATCCCAGCACTTTGGGAGGCCGAGGTGGGTGGATCACGAGGTCAAGAGATTGAGACCATCCTGGTCAACATGGTGAAACCCCGCCTCTACTAAAAATATAAAAAATTTAGCTGGGCATGGTGGCACCTGCCTGTAATCTCAGCTACTCAGGAGGCTGAGGCAGGAGAATTGCCTGAACCCAGGAGGCAGAGGTTGCGGTGAGCCGAGATCGTGCCATTGCACTCCAGCCTGGGTAACAAGAGCAAAACTCCGTCTCAAAAAAAAAAAAAAAAAAAAAAAAAAAAAAAGAAGAGCAACCCCAAGACATATAATTATCAGATTCACCAAGATTTGAAGGAAAAAATGATAAGGGCAGCCAAAGAGAAGGACTTCCCCACAAAGGGAAGCCCATAAGACTCCCAGCAGATCTCTGCAGAAACCCTACAAGCTAGAAGAAAGTGAGGGACATATTCAACATTATTAAAGAAAAGAATGTTCAACCCAAAATTGCATATCCAGTCAAATGAAGCTTCATAAGCATAAAGAAAATCCTTTACAGACAAGCAAATGCTGAAATTTTATCACCACCAGGCCTGCCTTACAAGAACTCCTGAAGAAAGTACTAAATATGCAAAGGAAAAACCAGTACCAGCCACTATAAAAGC